CAATTTTAGTCCGTGAGGCAGACACCCTGTCTACTTTTAAGGCTAGGCTTAAAACTTTCCTTTTGATAAAGCTTATAGTTAGGGTGGCTCAGGTTATCCTGAGCTATCTCTATAGTTATGCTGCTATAGGCTTAGACTGCTGGAGGACATAGGGACCCCTATTTCATCATTGTGCTTAATTCTATCTCTATTCTCACACTGTAGAATCTGTTAATTTAATCTCTAACATTCTGCTCTCTCAGCTGTGCTGCTGCCATCAGCACCTTTGTTTATATATGTTGGAGCTTGGCCTGTTTTTCAGTGTAGTCCTGTTTCTCTAACTGTGACTAAATGGATGTACTCCTTTCATCCTCTGACGTGGGAGCTGGCTCAGAGCTCGTCTGCCTGGCTGTGAGTTTCCTGGACGGGGCCGCCTGTGGAGCTGGTTGACAAGTTCCTTTTGTATTTCTGCTTCTTCTTCTATCTCTGCTTCTGTCTCCTTGAACCCCAGTCGGCCTCAGCAGATGGCCGCTCACACTGAGCCTGGTTCTGCTGGAGGTTCCTTCCTGTTAAAAGGGAGTTTTTCCTCTCCACTGTCGCTACAAGCATGCTTAGTGTGAGGGATTACCTTCAAGTCAATGAGTTGATGCAATCAACTGTTGATGATGTGTTGTGAATTGGTGCTATAGAAATAAACTGAATTGAACTGTATGGCAACACCTGTGCCAATACTCATCCCTAATTGTAGGGAACTAGATATAAGCAGATAAGCAGTGGATAATTCAGTGAAAAGGTGGCTACAGGAGATTTTTTTTTTCTTTTCGGGTAAAATAAAGTTTTTAAATAAGTGTTATGATTCTATTTATTTATATATCCTAGATAGGATAGAGAGAGTAGCATATGGGGAAAAAAAACTAAAACTTACAGAAAATACAAACACAGATAATTCAATCTAAGCAATAAACTAATAAATGTGATTCCAAAGGGTTTAAACAGGATTATAAACAGATTGCAGCCTCAGTGAAATGCAGGTAGACCTGTCAGCAGTACGCAGGATCAACCTACCTTTGCTGCTCTCTGCCCGCTTTGTCCCGCCCCACCAATATGACATTCTACAAAAGAACAAAATCAAATACACTCACTCACATCTACGTATCATTACAAAAAATTAATACAGATATTACAGATGGTCATAATTCTTTATTTCTTAAGGCAAGGCGAAATATTTTACATCTGTGAGTCCAGTTTGCTGAAGATGTCAATCAAACGTCGAGCGTCATGTTAGGTGACGCTGCACAGCATTTCCACGTCAGTGTGTTTACCAAAACCGGCCTGACAGCTACAGGAAGTACTCCCATTTGCTCATCTTTGGACTCTTTTTGAAGGGATCTGTTGGTGATGCACTGATGGGAGAGAACCGGCTGTCCCACAGTGGAATGTCTGAACATCGTGGCTGCTCTGTTTCTGCCTGGGAACTGAACTTTGGACTCTTAGCTTCCCCTCTTATCCTGCTAGCCGCTTTAGCTTGCTGAGGAAGGCAGCATTAGCTCCAGAAAGACTCATTCCGTGTTTGAATCCAGCTCCTCACCGAAGGTAACTCCGCTTTATCTCCTGCTGTTACACAGAACAAGTGTGTGTCTGTCCTACTCACTGAAATAACAGAGACGTTATAAAGGCAGCAGGTCAGGGAGGCATTGCTAGCACAAGCTAATGCTACATGCTAGCTGCCACATCAACTCTTAATTATTTGTCAGCTGGTGAGCTCAGATCCTCTTTGATTATTGTTTAAAGGCCTTTAGCATTGTGCCTTGTTAATAGATAATAAAAAAGCCAAAAATAAACAGTGAAAATGGACCTAGCTGTCATTTTTTTCTTATCATATATTTATTTTTTTTAATTTTTCAAGTAAAAATGTCTTAATTTATTGTTCTGCCATTTGTGAGTTGTTGTGTTACTCAGCCTCGTCAGGGGATTGCTGCTCTTTCTTTTTTTATTGATATTTGTTTGAATGGCAGTGATCATCCTCACACATTGGTCTGCCATCAGGGGTAGATTTAGGAAATTTGGGGCCCTGGGCAAGACAGGCAGGGGGCCCTCTGAATTGAAAAGACAACACATAAAGCCGGGCATACACTGTGCAATGTTTTCAATCGTTGCACGCAGCTACAGCTCACACTATACGACATAGACTGCGGGGTTTAAAAGTTCCCAGCTCACGATGTTTGTTCTCACCCGATGCTCTGATGTGATCTACCTGCTCACACTGTACGTCTAAAAAAAAAACACGTGGGACTCAGCTCCGCAGTGAGATGGCGCTACTCGGACTCGTCTATCCAGAAGCCAAACCAGTAGAAGAGGAAGCTCACTAGAGTGAAACACGCTGCCTTGGCAATTTGTGCAATTTTGTGCAAAAGCCCTAAAAAGAAAAGGCAACAACCTACTAGGACAAAGACATGGCTGAGCAAACATGGCTACTACAGTCTGTCCATTTTACAGAAAGAACTCAATTTCACTCATTGAACCCCCGCCATGCTTCTGTGTTTTCGTCCGAGAGGAAGAAGAAGAAGAAGAATCCTTGTTTGCCCACTGAGCGATGTGCCCACAACAACCTTACGACGGCCGACTGAATTCAAACATTTTTGATTTTGTCTCGACCTTATGATTCCTGATCGGGAGGTGGTCGTTAGAGGCTGATCGCCCCTCATTACCCCCTGTACACTACTCAGCACCATCAGGCTGAAAGTCAGCCCAAAACGTGCAGAACGTTGTACAGCATATTCCCGGCTTTAACAGACCCATTATACAGATAGAGAAATGTTAATAGAATAGACATCCATTATCTGTTCTAGGTTGTGTCCCTCTCTTCTTGTCCCTTTTCTTCTTGTTTTCCTCTCTATGTTTTGTACTCAGCTGACTTTTCATGCTGTCTCTAAAGGAATGAAAGATTTTTTCCAAGCACTAAGCTCACTTAGCTGATTGCTCCTTCCTGTGTTTCCAAAAAGGCCAAAGTAAATAACCCAGTCCTTCTTTTCACTGTAGACAAGCCATGATCTGCTTCTCTGTTCTCCATTTTTCATTTGGATGAAATAATCGCTTCATGAATCATGACAGCAGACAAGATAGAGGAGAGCAGGAGGCAGGGTTACCAATCTACTCGCTCTGGAGAGCAGAGTTCACTGCTTTTACATTTTGAATTGAAAAAAATTCCCTAGATGGGAAGCAAAACTTTTTAAAATCTTGGAAACAATCCAGGGGATTGTTTTTTTTAACTTTTTTGTAAGGACTGTGACCTGGATGACTGGGAAACTTGACCAGCATACATGTCCTATTATTTAGGAATGTTCAAAGTTCTCTAAATGTTATAAACTTTAAGATATTCACATCCAGTTTTTCAAACGTGGCTTCTTGGCCACGATTTTGCAAAATTTCAAGACTGTCAAAGCTTTTATCTATAATCTACATAAGTTGATGTAACTTTCATACAGCCAGGCTATATGTGTGTAGTGAAATACTTAAAACCAAGACTCCATTTCATGTTAAGAACATAGTTAGGCTTAGTTCTACCACCTGTGGGTATCTCTAATTTTGAAGGGCATTGTGACGGCCCTCTTAGCTCAGAGGCCCAAACTTCCCTCTCCATCCTCTGGTTCCTCTGAGGTGTTCCTAACATGGTTCCTCCGGTGTGTCCCGCCTTGATCAACTTCCAAAAGGAGCCGTCTGGGGGGGGGGATTATAGGTAGGAAAGTAGAGCGACCTGCAAATCCAGAGCTTCACCCTTTGGCTCATCTCTGTTTGCTGTTCTTTGATTTTCTGGACATGACGGCTCTTTTCGTCGAAGTCGTTACCGCAGCGACTGAAACACCTCTAAAAGCAGGCCTACAGCAACAGTCTGCAGCAGATGCAGTAGCTCCAGAGGGCAATACTGTAGGCCGTTATTGGCTCTTAGCTGGGGCTACATGCTGCTACATGCTATCATGTCTTGTTACAGTATACAGGCACTAAGATTGTGATGAAAATAGTTTTTTTTTTCTCTGTTTGTTTGTTTTAGAAATTGAAACTGGCCTAAAATATACAGATATAGTAACATTTTCTGCATTTCTCATCATTTTGAAGGTTATAGCCCCAAAAAAGCGATTAATGCAGATGATCAGATAAAAACAGGACATTTCAATGGTTAGGCTAAAGAGGTGATTAGCATGAAAGGCATCCGTGCTGCATGGCAGGGATGGATGAGGCGGGGAACATGGCTGTGCAGCTTGTTTTAATGAAAGCAGAGCATCTGCTGTTTGGGTCGGGTGTCCTGTCCGTTCTTCATGGGACCCATTGGATTCGCTACGGGCTTCAGGTCTGAACTGTTTGCTGAGGGACACCATGATTATGGAAGCAGCTGTGGAGATAAGATGTCAAGTCCTACAATAAAATCAGGATGTCTGTAATGCCTGAGGGGCTGGATTATGTCATAGATACAATGGTTTGTAATCGATCAAACCAGGAATAACTAATTAAAAATCAGCATGGTCCAAATAAAGAAAATCATCAACCAGTAAAGGTCCGAAGACATTAAACAGAATTTAACACTAAAATTAAGATGAGCTTTTTATGTGTCCATGTTATACGTTGACTATTTAAACAAAGAAATATAAAATAACTTTTTTTCCATTTTAACATCTAAGGTGTTTTTTGAAGTAGAGAACAACAATCGTTCAGTTTGGTATATAGACAATATCCTCATTCACATATTTTATAAAACACCCGAACTCACTGTTATTTTCTTTCTTTTTTCTGTCTTAATGTTGGCAGTGGGCTTTCTGCTGCCCTGCAAGGCTTTAAACCTGGTTTGAATGGAGACTAAGCCATTCTAAAGCACATCAAGGAGCTCATTTTAAGCCTGGATCCATATATATTTCTGATTCTGTTCATGGTGGAGAATCCTGCTTCACAGCAGCAGGTTGAGCCAAACATCCTCTAAATGT